CCGTGCAGGGTTAGGGCTTTTACTTTACCTTGATCCTGAATAGTCTGTGAAGATTTGTCTGGAGAGTTTCTCCAGAAAGTCATTCTAATGATTTTTGTTAAATTGAAGATGCCCTTACCTGGAATCCAGCAGTTCAGCTATCTACCCTGGAGAAACTGTCTAAGAAACCTAATGGAGGGCCTCCCCGGTGGCGCAGTGGTTGAGCGCTGGGTTGCGAAGCTGCCCGCAGCCTCTGCAGCACCGGTTCGATCCCCGGCTGCTCCCCGGCCCCCGGAGGAGGGTCCCACATGGCGCGCAGACCTCTCCTGCCGCCCGCTGCTCCCCTCAGCAGTGTACTTCAGCCCTTCTGCCTGCTCTGCTCCCCGCTCTGGCTCTGGTGAATTCTCTCACCCTCCCGCGCTTCTGACTGTACTCAGTGCTTGTATAAATAAATAAATAAATCTTTAAAAAAAAAAAAAGAAAGAAAGAAACCCAGTGGAATACACTGGAGCTACACAAGTGAAAAGGATAGAGAGCTCCTGTTCTCAGAGAGCAGCCATTCTACGGGGCAAACAAACAATACCACAAGGTGGTAAATGTAGTGAGTTGTAGGTTGTAAGTAAATACAATAAACTAACAAGCAGGAAGACAGGAGTAAGAGCAACTGGGAAAGCTTGTTAGGAGGTATTCAGATCTCAGGTCAATTGCCAGTCCACAGCAATGCCCTTCATGATCGCCCAAGGGGGTGTGCATTATTGTTGCTACCTAACAACCAATCAATGCTCTTCTAACACTTGCCATAGTCATAACTAAGTGAACATCTGATTGGCTGTGTGGTGTTTCTTTCCTGCATGTAATGTAAGACCCTCTGGGCCAGAGACTTGCCCAGTTCACACATCTTGTTCCAATTACAGTGGCTGGAGGACTCAATGTTTGTTAAAGACAGAAATCAAGAGTCAGGCTTCTACCAGCTTCCAAATCTCCCGTATCTAATCAGAGCATTTCCTGAGGATAAATGTTACCCAAATGACAAGTCCTGATACAGTAGATATATTTAGGAAATATGCTTTTTCACTACATAATGAGTCTTTTAATATTGAAAATGCTAATGAGAGTGTTAGAAAAAACTCTAATGTGATCCGACATTGCAGTGTCTAAAACTATTTCAGCAATAGTATCACCATTTAAAAAAAAAATACCAACCAGTTAAAATGAATAAACAAATTAACTGGAGGGGCCTCCCTGGTGGCGCAGGGGGTTAAGACGCAACCTATGAAGCTCTCCACAGCCTCTTCAGCACGAGTTCAATCCCCGGACAGCCCAGGGAGCAACCCACATGGCGCAGCAGACCTCTCCTGACTTGCCCACTGCTCCTCTCAGCAGTGCACCTTGGTCAATCTACCTGTTCTGTTCCCCACTCTGTCTCTAGTGAGTCCTCTCACCCTCCACACCTCTGGCCTGTGCCCCAGCTCTTATATGCATAAAATAAAATAAATCTTAAAAAAAAAAAAAAAGAAATTAACTGGAAAACAAGTGGGAAAAAAGTCAAGTTCAGCACACTGGGCGAACAGGTGAATGGGAACCAAGAGTGGGCAGAAAGCAGGTCTCTCTGGTGGTCCTGGCCTTTCAACCCCATGACCTGTGACATCACTCAGGAAGTGGGCTATACTCTAAAGGTGAAAGTCAAGGTGTTACTTTAACCATCCCATTCGATCATTCAATTGGAAGTTTCTGGATTTAGGTAAAGAATTTTGTTTTCAATTTTATCTCTTGTTCATGTCCTTCCATAGTGCCTTCTCCTCTTGTGATAAAAATCTGGGCGCTTAGCTTAGATGTAAATTCAATATCCTGGGATTTCACAAGTTTGTTGAAAGCAGAGGAATTCACTTTGGCTTGCCTTTGACTTTCCACAAGAGTCTGTGGTTTCCCTAATACCCACTGGTGCCCCAACATGGCTGCAGTGTGACCTGAGGGGAGTGACTGGAGTTTTCATGCCCTAAGGTCTGACTGGGCCCAAGTCCAGCAAGTCGTAGAAGGCTCAGTCTAGAGAAAAGAAAAATGTCCTGATAGTGCAGTTCTGCCCCAAAAGTCACCTCCTCTGGTTGTCCAGGCATCCTAAGTACATCAGTGAAAGGAGTGTCCTGGGAGTGCCCAACAGGCCTCTTGCAGGGAGGGGGTTTGGGAAAAAAAACAGATGGTTTTCTGCATTTACTGAAGACGTTTAACTTCTAAACCATGTATATGGTGGGAGGTACGTTGTGATAGTTGCCTATAAGGAAAACATAAGTATTACCACATGGGAACAATGCCAAGGGAAAACCACAAATATTTTAAGAAAAATTGGTATTTCAAGAAAAGTTTGCATTTTCTCCTCTAGAGAAATAGAGAACCTGTTGTGAACAGTGATTTTTTAAAAAACATACAAGATGGTGCCGTTAGTTTAAAGGAGAATGGAAGAAAGACTGCTAACTTCAAGCATTTTTTTTTCTAGCTCATATAAAAAGGAGAAAAACACTGAGTAAGTTCTCAACCTGGAGACTTTAATGATTACCATCCTTAAACAAACTGCTTTGAGTCATTTGAGATTCCTGCCCAAACTGGCAAAAACTTGAAAAGAATGAGGAAACACGTGTTCTTGTCCTACCTCATGGAACCAGTTGTAAACTGCGCCCACTACTTGGGCCTTACTACCCTGGCAGGGTGGCGGGAATGGGCGATTGGCAGACATTAAGTCTGCGCTAAGTGCCAGGGAAGAAACTAAAAATGGAGAAGGGGGTGCAGATACCACATATGCAAGGAGCTAAGCAGGCTGGAAAGATGAAGCACAGAATTTATACATGAAAAATGAATGTAAGAGCATTATTGTCTTCCCCAGTGATTTTCTTGGGGAGAAAGAAAACTAACAGATGAGGAAAAAGTAGAAAACAATCAGTTGCGATATAGATCCTGGAACCCATATTTATCTGAATGAATAATCAATCACCTAGACAACCAGGTCTTCGATATAGATTTTTACTGATGATGGAAGGAAAACAGCCATGGGGCTTTGTTCAGACTGCTGGTGAAAGTGACTCAGTTTTTCACAGCTCTGTGAACATGGATCCTTACTGTTCTAAAGACATGCAAACTGAACATTTACAGTGCGCTATGCCTTGTGCTAAGCAATGAGAATACAAATAAAGAGGTCTCAATCCTCAGCTCCAATTCAGACATCAAAACCAGTTTTCATCCTGCCATTATGATACAATATAGTAAGTGCAATAAAATAGAATTACATATGAATTGTTTTGGCAACAAGGTGGGGAATGAAACCTGGTTCCACCACTTATAACACAAGTGATAGTGGACAATTATAATCATTCTCAAGCCTTTTTCATCTGTAAAACAAAATAAAAAGAATATCCACATCAGGGGCCTGCCTGGGGGCACAGGGGTTAAAGACAGTGCTATCAAGCTATCCCCAGCCACTGAAGTATGAGTCTATCTGGGCTGGCTAGGGAGCTAAGGCACATGGTGCAGCAGACCTCTGTCTCCCCTGCTGCTTCCCCTCAGCAGTGTATTCCAGTAGATCTGCTCTCCACATTCTGGTGAATCCTCTCACACAAACCCCCACCTCTGACTTACACACCAGTTCTTGTATGCATAAATAAATACATCTCTTTAAAAAAAAAAGAATATCCAGGCCTCCCTGGTGGCGCAGGGGGTTGAGCACCACACTATGAAGCAGTCCGCAGCCTCTGCAGCACAAGTTCAATCCCTGGCTGGCCAGAGAGCAACCCACATGGCGAGGCAGACCGCTCCTGTCTCGCCCGCTGCTCCCCTCAGCAGTGTGTTTCAGTCAGTCTGCCTGTTCTGCTCCCCACTGTCTCTGGTGGATCCTCTCACCCCTCCCCCCCCCCACGCATCACTGGCCTGTACCCCAGCTCTTGTATGCATAAATAAGTAAAGCTTTAAAAAAAAAAAAAAAAGGATATCCACTCAGGCCTAGTGCTGAGTAAAAGCATGGTAAATGACAGCTATTGCTCATTATTTTTATTCATTATTCTATGCATCAGGGCTATGGAATGACTAGTTCAACAATCAGAAAACCAACAGAACGCTCAAAGCATTTGTGAACATAACTCTTCCTCTGGGATGAAATTGAGTCACAATCTACAGAGGGATTGCAAAACTGGGGTAATTCTTATTTTGTAGCAATGTGAGAATCCCCTGGTACAGACGTCGAAAGCCGAGCGCAGAAGCCCGCCCAATGGGAGCTGGGGTTTGGCATCAGGCCATTCTCAGCAATAGGGAAAACGGTTCGGGAAGGTCCCCTGCTGCCCAAGAGCGCTCTGGACATCAGCCCTTGTGGGTGTCCACCACCGGGTCCTGTATTTGGGCGGCCCTGCCCACAGGTCGTGGCCCTCCCAGGTGCTCCTTCGCCACCTGATCAGCCCCGGCCCCCAGAGCATGGCTGTTCCCGACCAGCCATGAGTAAAATGCCTCCACTCCAATCACACAAATACGAAAACCAGCGGCGTGGGGCCTCCTTGGTGGCGCAAGGGGTTAAGACGCAACCTATGAAGCTGTCCGCAGCCTCTTCAGCATGAGTTCAATCCCCGGCCAGGGAGCTACCCACATGGCGCAGTAGACCTCTCCTGCCTCGCCCGCTGCTCCCCTCAGCAGTGTGTTTCAGTCGATTAGCCTGTTCTGTTCCCCGCTCTGTCTCTGGTGAATCCTCTCACCCCCACACTTCTGGCCTGCACCCCAGTTCTTGTATGCATAAACCTTTAAAGAAAAAAGAAATAAAGAAAACCACCGGGCGTCCCTTCCTGGAGCGAACTGCCAGCTCGGAAGGGGAGCGACCCCGGCTAGCGTCTCCCCTCACTGCCGGCCGAGGCCCGGCCTCCCGGGGACCCTCGCCCCGGCGCCCGCGCCCGCCAGGCCGCACTTCCGCGCAGGCGCAGAGAGCGGCGGGCGCGGCTTCCGCCCGGCCGGCGTCCCGGGGCGGGGCGGGGCCTGCGGCGGCGGGAAGAGGCGGCGGGAGGATGGAGGCGCCGGAGGGCGGCGGTGGCGCAGACGATCGCGGGGCTCAAGACCCTGCCGCAGCCCCCAGCAAGGGGCCCGGCAGCGCCGGCCACTACGAGCTGCCGTGGTGAGCCCCGGGCCCTAAGTCAAGCGTGCTCTGGGCCTGCGGGCGGGCGGGCGGGCGGGGGGGCGCGGGCCTGGCCCCGGGGCACCCCGGGGGAGCAGGAGGCCCGGTGGTGTCGGGGGTATTATTTGGAGAATGCGAGGTTCACGCGGGCCGCTGGGGTCGAGGAGCGGGTCCGATCTTTGGAAGCGGGGTCTCGATCAGAACAATGTTGAGTATGGAGTCTAGCAGCTCTGGGTTTCCACGGCGCTGACGGGTCTCTTGGCGGGAAGCATCGGACACAGGTTTGGCGCTGGGGGTATGTGCAGAAGGAGCCGCATCCTTCTGTTGACTGCTCTTTAAATAGAGCATTCTGGGGGCCTCCTTGGTGGCGCAGGGGGTGAAGCACCGCACTGTGAAGCAATCCGCAACCTCTGTAGCACGAGTTCGATCCCCTGCCCACCCAGTGAGCTACCCACACGGCGCAGCAGACCTCTCCTGACTCGCCCGCTGCTCCCCTCAGCAGTGTATTTCAGTCAGTCTGCCTGTTCTGCTCCCCACTCTGTCTCTGGTGAATCCTCTCACCGCCCTCCCCCCACCTCTGGCCTGTACCCCAGCTCTTGTATGCATAAATAAATGAATCTTAAAAAAAAAAAAAAATAGAGCATCCTGGGTATCTGGGACGAGTAGTACATGCCACTAGCACGGTGTGGTGCAGACGGTCTGCTGAGGTCCTGTTCCCTGCGCGCACTTCTCAGAACTGCACAGCTCCCAGTGCTCTGTGTGTTCCCCGCCCTCCTGCCCATCCTGTCTCTGGAGCACACACCTAGATGGAGGGCAGTGTAGCTCGTTGGACTATGCAGCTGGGCCAGCCACTGGCCACAGGAGGCTGGTAAGCGCTGGAAATCGGGCAGGTCCGAACTGAGATGGGCTCTAAGTGTTTAATATACACTGAATTTTGAGGATTTAGTTTTGAAGTCTCATGATTAATTTTTATATTGTTACATGTTGAAAATAATATTTTGGCTATACTGAGTTCAATAAAGTATATTAGTAAAATTCACCTGGTTTTTTTTTTACTTTTAAAAAATATTTTTAGTTAATTTTTTAATTTTTTTATATCATTGTTCATTTTCTTTTTAACTTTTTAAATGTGGCTACCCGAAAGTTTAAAATTACATTTGTGACTTGCATTATATTTTTTTTCTGCATGACACTGGATGCTTAGGAAATAAACATATATGTGTATGTGTATATATATTTCTGTGTATATATAGTATGTTTGGTGGTGACAGGTGCTATGGAGAAAAAGAAAGTGGGGAAAATAGCTTTGGATAAAATTAAACTGAGGAGCAAGGACCTGAATTCAGGGAGTAAACCTTGTGATTTCAGCTTTTGGTGGCGGTGGGGGGGGGGGGAGGCAGCTGTGCAAAGACCCCAAAGGAGGAGCATGTTCACCTCAGTGAAAGCAGTAACTTGCAAAATTTCAGCTCCTGAATATCCCAGGTGGTGATGCTGCCTCTCCTCTGGGCTTTCACGGAGCTTAATTTATTCGATCACGTTAGCACTTGTTAGGATTCGCTGGGCCTTTTCTCCCCACAAGTGGGAAAGCCCATTAGAGGAAGAACCATGTCTTGCTCATCTCTGTTCCTTCTCTCTTCCTCCCCTTGAGATGACTAACTCCTGACACAGTGCTGGTCACCTGGAAGGGGCTGAGTGTGAAGAATAAATGAGTGGGCACAAGCATGTTCTATCTGCTTGTCTTGGAAGAGAGCTGGCTATTTTCTATAATACATGACAAGCTGCTTTGTGTGCCGCTGCTTCTGGAGCAGAACTGGAACCTGTAGAGGGTGTAAGCTGCAAGTAAATCAGGAGCAGGGGAAGTGCTGACGGTCAAATCACTGCCAATTCTGTTCTCTGAGCTGGAGAAAGTAATTTTCTCCTATAGCTTGCTTATTAATTTTTTTTAAGATTTATTTATTTATGCATACAAGAACTGGGGTGTAAGTCAGAGGTGGGGTAGAAGCCAGAGAGGATTCACCAGAGAGAGTGGGGAGCAGAACGGGCAGATTACTGAAATACACTGCTGAGGGGAGCAGCGGGCGAGACAGGAGAGGTCTGCTGCGCCATGTGGGTCAGCTCCCTGGCTGGCCAGGATTCGAACTCGTGTTGCAGTGACTGGCAGTAGCTTGATAGTGCTGTCTTTAACCCCTGCACCACCAGGGAGGCCCTTGCTTGTTAGTTTAAAAAAGAGACATCATTGGCCTGGGCTGGCCACTAGCCTGTCTGCTCCACACAGCCCAATCCGATCACAGTGGTGTCTGTCTAGCTGCTCCTGCTGTATGCTTGGCACAAGTCTGCAGAGACTGGCAGGTGAGGGATGAGAAGGGGGCTCAGTTGAACCTGTGTCTGTCAGATCAGTCAATGTCCCTGTCTCAAGTGCTGGGCCTCTAGTGCTGGACAGACTGTTGTGGCACAGTGAGTGTCACTTTGCTCCAGATAGTCTGCTCTGTCCCTTCTCCAGCAACAATAGGTGTTTTTCTGCTGTGATGGGCGTGAAGCTCATGGTGTACAATTCTCATGCATTTGACTTTGCAAATGGTACTTGGGCATCTCTTTACGCTTAAAACCTGCAGCCCTTTGTTTTTATTAAGTGTGTATCATCTGGTATGCTGTAAGAATTGCCTGCTAGGGTAATGTCAAAATAGCCATTTCAACATTTTTATGCATTTTCGTTAAAACAGGGTTGAAAAATATCGGCCAGTAAAGTTGAATGAAATTGTTGGGAATGAAGACACTGTGAGCAGACTGGAGGTAAATGATTTTTTTTTTTAAAGATTTGTTTATTTATGCATACTAGAGCTGGGGTACAGGCCAGAGCAGTGGGGGAGCGGGCGGAGAGGATTCACCAGAGAGAAAGTGGGGAGCAGAATAGGCGAATCTACTGAAATACACTGCTGAGGGGAGCAGCGGGTGAGGCAGGAGAGGTCTGCTGCGCCATGTGGGTTGCTCCCTGGATGGGGATCGAACTCGTGCTGCAGAGCTGCTGCAGCATAGGTTGCTTCCTAACCCCTTGAAGCACCACCAGGGAGGCCCAGTGATTTTTTTAAAAGATCATCTTATGTCACATTACTGTGACTTGGACAAGCTCGAGGCATTTGGAGGGTAACAGTCAAGTGAGGGGAGGCAAGTCATGAATCCAGAAAAATCGGGGAATGGGAAGATAATCAGTTTGGAGGTGACTAGAGCTGTAGCAGAAAACTGCAGGTGTTTGAAGGGCAGGTTTATTGGAAAGGGGTTGTCAGACTTGTTCTGTTTTCTAGAGCTAGGATGGCAAATTGAGGTCAAGGTAAGTTAATAATGTCTTAGGCTCTGCAAACCATGTAAGGTCTTTGTCAAATGTTCTTTATTTAAATAATCATTTAAAAATATAAAATCTCTTCTTAGGGGCCTCTGCCAAAGTCAACAGGCAACATGGTTAGCATCTGCTCGAGGAGGTACTGGGTGTTGTGGGAGCCCATGGGCAGAGTTTAGGGAGTGGGGGAGGCATTAACCTGCTCAAGTGGCTTCATTTCCAAGTGGAAGAAGTGATACCAAAGCTAAGGGAGTGGGAGGCAGCCAGAACTGGGGCTCGGGGTAGAGAGGGAAGGCAGCAGGAGGAGTACATGCCAAGGCCCAGAGGTGAGAGCACTTGGCTTCTTCTAGGGGGAAATGCCATCTGACTGGATACATAGTCGTGGTTTCCAGAATTAATATGAACTGCCTGGGGAGCTTGTGAAAATGCTGATTCTGACTTAGTGGGTCTTGAGCAGTGTGTGTTTGTGGCAGATGAGATGGGCAGGGCGTGGGGAGCCCTTTTCAAGAGATTGGGCGTTCTGATGAGGATGTCAGCCAGTTAAAGATGTTTTAATAGATGTGTATTTTAGAAAAGATGTCGTGATTGTAGTATGGGAAATGCATTGGTGTGGGGCATGATTAGGAGCAAGGAGACTAGTTAATGGCCTGTTGAAAGGAAACCAGGTAAGAGATAATGGGCAAAGAATAGGTACTGGGGGCTGGAGAGAAATAAATGGATTCTGGAGAAAATGGAGAAAGAATGACCAAGCTTTGTCATTGTGTGGGGGAGGGACAAGGCCCAGTCCAGGGTGACCTGCTGCAGGCTTGATGGCTTTGGCTGTCCATGAAAGGGGAGATATGGCTGAGGCCCCAGGTCTGTGGGGGGAGATGACAAATTCAGTTTTGAATGTGCTGAGGTGGGAGCTTTGCCTGGCATTATGTGGACTGATTTGTAGCCTTGTTTATTTTTATAGACTTAAGTGGGGGAGAGACTCATTCCTCAGGTTGGCAGATAAACCAGTTTTAATGAACATTTCTTCCTTCAGGTTTTTGCCAGAGAAGGAAATGTGCCCAATATTATCATTGCTGTAAGTACTCAGCCCTGGCCCTCTCAGCTGTCTTGGGGTGTCATTTTCACCCCTCTCTTAAGTGGTCTTGTGCACTGCCGTGCTTCTCCTTGGAGAGGCCCGCTATCAGCAGGGCCCTGGCACGGGGAAACTTCCCTCAAGTGGGTTGGAGGCCTGTGGGTTGGCTGCTAAATGGTGCGGTATGTGCTGTGGGTGGGTCAGGGGCTAGAGAGGAAGGTGAGTGTAAAACAGTGGTGAACAGGAATCAATTCATTCTGTTGGCTTGGAGCGCTCACTAGAACTCTCTTCCTAGGGCCCCCCAGGAACCGGCAAAACAACCAGCATCCTGTGTTTGGCACGAGCCCTGCTGGGCCCAGCACTGAAGGACGCTGTGTTGGAGCTCAACGCCTCAAATGACAGGTGTGTTTGGAGTTAGGGCCAAAAGGCAGCCAGTGTTTTACAATTTAAATTGTCAGAGAAACAGCCTTTTCCAAGTTCTCTGTTGTACTTGGAGCTTGCCTTGCTGGCTTTCTTTTCTTTTCTTTTGCTTTTTCTTTTTTTTTAAAGATTTATTTTATTTTTGCATCCAAGAACTGGGGTACAGGCCAGAGGTGAGGATGTGAGAGGATTCACCAGAGACAGAGTGGGGAGCAGAACAGGCACTGACTGAAATACACTGCTGAGGGGAGCAGCTGGCAAGGCAGGAAAGGTCTGCTACACCATGTGGGTAGCTCCCTGGCCAGGGATCAAACTCAGGCCATAGAGGTGACTGGGCTGAGACTTAACGCCTAGGCCACCAGGGAGGCCCAGTCTCCATTTCTTTATCATGCTTCCTTCCAATAACCTTTGTAGATACAGTTACCTTCAGCTTTTAGTTACTACAAACTGTCCTGTAATTGTTGCTGTTCAGCTCTCATAAAAGATGAAATAATACTGATTGGCACATGACCTTTTAGCACAAGAGGATGGTCCAGGGACTCCTCCCAAGATATTGGGGAATGAAGGCCTCCCTTTTGAGTGACCAGATGAAGATGTATTTAGTTTTCATCTTTCGAAACATGTTGCTCACTCCCAGGTTCTTAGGTTTGAGAAAATCCATCTAGGATGTTGGCGGTTGAGGACTTGCCATGTGAGTGTTGTCTGATTCACCTGATGATTGGGAAATGTCTTCCTCTGTCAGTTTCCTTTGCCATTGTGAGTGGAAAATGAAAAATTCTGAATTTTCAACTGTGATCAATGAAAGGTCTAAAAAATAAAAACCTAAATAAAGCATGAGCAATAGTAGCAGGTTTCCCTTCTATTATATCAGCCTAGGCAATTCCATCATTCTTTCACTTTCTTATTTTAGTCTTTTTTAGCATAGTTGGTAGTAATTTTTTTAAAAGATTTATTTTATTTATACAAGAGCCAGGGTACAGGCCAGAGTTGTGGGAGGGTGAGAGGATTCACCAGAGACAGAGTGGGGAATAGAACAGGCAGACGGACTGAAGACACTGCTGAGGGGAGCAGCGGGCGAGACAGGAGAGGTCTGCCGCACCATGTGGGAATCTCCCTGGTCAGCCGGGAATCAAACCAGCGTTGCAGAGGCTTCGGACAGCTTCACAGTGCTGCGCTCAACCCACCATGCCACTGGGGAGGCCCGGTTGGTAATAATTGATGAGTAACAGTGGAATAATTACTGGGATGCTGCTGCTGCTATTTAGTTTCAAGATATAGGAAGAATAAGATCACTATGACCCCCAAATTATCTTGGATTATAAAAGGGCCCAGTGGACCCACATGGTAATTACAAGAAAAAAATTAATTTCATTCTATCCCCAAAAAGTCAGTGAATATCTCCTTCGTTCTTTGGAAGACCTACAAGAAAAAATGGAAGTCACGAACAATGTCAGTCCTTTCACGTAGTTAGAATTGCCCGAAAAGAATCTTAAATATTAAAACTGGGTCCACAGTGGTGTACTGAAGGTCACATGTCCCTGTGAAGTTACCGGGATTTGTCTCAGAAGGTGACAGGATGGTTTTCTGTTTCAGGGGCATTGATGTTGTGCGGAATAAAATCAAAATGTTTGCCCAGCAGAAAGTCACCCTCCCCAAAGGGCGCCACAAGATCATCATCTTGGACGAAGCGGACAGGTAGAGCTTTCCCCTTGGTCTCTAAATCTCCTATTGGGCTTTATAAAATCAGGAGCAGATGGTCTTGCCTTTGCACTTCTGTGGTAGATTTGCTTATTACACCTCAAAAAGCAGGTCAACAGTGGCATGAACCTTACGGTTACGAGGTGACTTACAAACATCTATCTGAGACGGTCAGGTAATGTTTTTGTGCCAGCATCACTTACATGAATAATTGAGATGATTTTTTTTTTATTATGGTGAAATACATAAAGCATAAATCTGACCATTTAAACTATTTTAAAGTCTACAGTACAGTGGCATTTAGTGCTTCCCAGTGTTGTTCAACCAATACCAGTTTAAATGAGGAATTGTAAATGACATTCAAAAAAATAACCGTAACACCTGTATTTGAGGAGAATTTAGAAAATATTCTTATCACCTTGCCTGATTTTTCTGCACTGCATTTTTACAGAATTGAGATCATAATATGTATAATTTTTGTGTCCTGGTTTTTCCTTTTAATGTATGTTTTATTTTTTACTTTTTGTTTTTAAAAAGCCAGATTTCATTTTTTTAATTTATGTTTTATATTATTACAATTCTTGTGAACATCGTTTTTAATTTCTGAATCATATTCCATAGTATGGATACACCTTAACTATTTTACTGTAACGTTATAGCATCTCCTTGTAAGCATTTTCAAGATGCCAGGTCCTCTGCTAAACTCTTTACGCGTTATTTTCTTATTTGTCATAACAACCATCTGAGGTAGGGAATATCATTATGTCCTTAGAGGTGGTGATTCCGAGCCTTGCACCTAAGGCCTAAGAACTCTTGACTCGGCCCCTGCTCTGGCACATAGAGGCAACCCCAGGAACATCCACTTGGGGGCCCTGGCCAGAGGCTGCACATGCTTAGTCAGGATTCCCAGGGGCTTAGGAAAGTCAGCAGCTGATGTTATGACTCTTCCCTTGAATTTTTTTATCATGTATCATGAAGGAGTTGCAGGGAGGATCAACTCCTATAAATGTGATGGCTGCCACTGTAGATGATGGCTCTGTAAATTCCACCTAAGGATTGCTTCTGGGTGCTTTAGGAACCAAATCCTAAAGCAGTGCCTGAGAGTGGCTTACGGATTTTGGCATTAGTGGGTGACATGCTTGTTTCTATGATCCCGGTCCAGGAACAGTGGACATGGCCTGTGAGCTGGGTTATCATTGATAGGTAGGGTTTTGTGTCCAGTGGGTCCTGGGTCCCCGTTGCAAACTGCCCCTTATGTTTTTCTTCTCAGCATGACTGATGGAGCCCAGCAAGCCTTGAGGAGAACCATGGAAATCTACTCCAAAACAACTCGCTTTGCTCTTGCTTGTAACGCTTCAGATAAAATCATAGGTGAGGACTGCAGTGGGGTCCACGTGGTGCTCACGTTGGCTATCTTAGGAACTCTGCCAACTGTGAGCCAAGCACTATGTGTGATATATATAATCAAGTTTTCCCTTTAATCTTATATAATTCTATGTGGAGGTATTGCTGGTCCATATTGAAGATGAGCAAACTGGAGCTCAGAGAGGTTGAGTAGTTTGCCCAAAGTCACACAGCAAGTGGAAGTACTGGGCAGACATGCTCTTGCATTTGGCTGATGCACTGGGCTTTGTTAATACCTGCAGCTGCCTCACTTATGACACCTTACCTGCCCTCTGTGTTTGTCTTTCCAGCCCTTCCCTCTCTCCCAGCAGCCTATCTGCCTCCTCACTGCTTTAAGCCTGCCAGCTAGTGAGGGTCTCCACAGTCTCAGCTGCCTGCTGACTTCACATCCTTCCCTGTTTGATACAGATGGTGACACAGGCCTGACCCCCTTCTCCACTCAGCCTGTCATGCTGAGTGGTTGCAGACAAGCAGGTCACTAACTGTGATGCCCCTACGGGGTCATGGATTCTAGTCTCCACGGGGCTCTCAGTTTTGCCAGGAGTCCTTTATGTCCTTGTGCCTTTCCAAGAGTTGTCATTATTTGCTCATTAATTCATCTGACAGACATCTACTCTGTTCTTAATGGGTGTCAGTTTCTGTGCTGGTGCTGAAGGCACAGAGTTTAATGAGAAACACGCTTTACCTTCTAGCCCCCCACGGTGTGATGGAGGACACCATGATGAAAGTTCTTGACTGATGGATGCGTATGTGGTTTGTCACCATTACCAGATGGGGGACAAATCTGAAGGCAGTAGACTCCTCCTCCCCCTGCAATTATACTTTGAATAGGCCCATGCATTAATGAGTCTGTTCAGTGATTTGAACCTGCAGTTGGTGGAAAAAGCTCTGATCCTCCCTTTTTATGAAAGTAACTCTTCTGTACAAATAGCATGCTGGTCATTTTTAATTTCTAAAACCCCATTACAAACATGTAAATGAAGTCTGAAGAAATTGACCTTTTGGTCTGGGACTAGGAAGTGGTTTACAATTAGATAGCAGCAGAGTTGCCCTTTAAAACTCTGAGTCACATGGGCCTCCCCTGGTGGCGCAGCGGTTGAGCACTGGGCTGCGAAGCTGCCCGCAGCCTCTGCAGCGCCGGTTGGATCCCCGGCCTCGCTGCGAGGGCCCCACATGGCGCGCAGACCTCTCCTGCCGCCCGCTGCTCCCCTCAGCAGTGTACTTGGTCAGTCTGCCTGTTCTGTTCCCCGCTCTGGCTCTGGTGAATTCTCTCACCCTCCCGCGTTTCTGACTGTAGCCAGTGCTTGTATAAAATAAATAAATAAATCTTTAAAAATAAAATAAAACTCTGAGTCACAGAGCCTCACTTTGGCTCCTACAGTCAAACCAGTTAAGAGAGCTGTGTTTGCCCAGAGGAAGACCATGCTGTCTAATTCTGACTTGTATTTAAAATCTGCAAATTAAGCTTTTGGCACTTTTTAAAAGAGAAAAATCTCTTAAAGGACACTTTCATCACAGTTGGAGTATTAACAGCTTTTATATGTGTACTACAATTTCTAATGGATCATTTTCTTGCCTGTACGTAAATATATAAATAAGATTAGTTGTGAAACATCTTGATTTCAGGTAAGTTGAAATGAACTAACCCTTCGGAGAGCCGCTCCTTGAAGTCTCATCCATTTGACAAATACTGAGCACATTTAGGTACAAAGCATGTGCTGAGTGCAAGGTTAGCAGTGGAAGCTACAAATCCAACTTGCCCCCAGAGCGCACACACAGATAGGAAATGAGACCCCCAGCCAGCAGACCCTGAGTCATCCTAAGTCCTCCTTTTTGCTCATCACTGCAGCTGACTCGTGAAGATGCGACTTGTCAGGAAGAGGTGAAAGATCAAAACATTTTGAGGAAGGCCAGTGTGGCAGCAGAACAGGATAGATCAGCAGAGACCTTGGGGCTTGGAGGTGATGGAGCAGCTACTGTGATAGTCTGCACAGATAGTCTACACAGGAGGGCTTCCAGAATTCTGCTTTTGCCCAGTGGCTCTCAGCCCTCGATGTGCATCACATCACCTGGTAGCTTTAAAGAAACCATGCAGGGCTCCTGTTTCACCTCAGACCAGTTGGTTGGTGACCTGCCCAGAGGCCATGAGGCCCAGCTTGCAGTGATTCTGGAGCCGAGTCGGCATGGACTGCCGGAGGGATAGGGAATGCAGAGATCCCCACCCTGGAGGATCTTTCCCCCTTCTGGAAGCTCTAACTAGCCAAGGTCATCCTGAGCAATGCAACTGAGGCCTCTGTCATTATTGGTTGCTATTTTGGAATTTAGTCCCAATTACCAAGTCACTGTGAGCCCCTGCTGGGCAGGTGTGATGGCACGTCTGGACCCAGTAGATGATGCAGCTGCTTTCTAGTATCTAAAGAACTTCAGGGTCCCACATCCTCTGCCAAGGGGCTCACCCTCTCCATGTCTGTCCAGAGCCCATTCAGTCCCGGTGTGCTGTCCTCCGCTACACAAAGCTGACTGATGCCCAGATCCTCGCCCGGCTCTTGAATGTCATCGAGCAGGAGAAGGTGCCCCATACCGACGACGGCCTGGAGGCCATCATCTTCACTGCCCAGGGAGACATGAGGCAGGTGTGTATGCGCACCCCCTGGAATAGGGTCGGGGCTGTTGCGGAGACAAGGCTCACCAAGTGGGAGTGTAGCCCCAGCAGAGAGCAGCCTGCCAGGAGGGTGTGGCCTGGACTCTGAGGTGGGGAAGAGAAAGATTTTGAAATCACCCTTGATATGTTTTCGTTCCTCAACAGGCTTTGAACAACTTGCAGTCTACTTTCTCAGGGTTCGGCTTTATTAACAGTGAGAACGTGTTCAAGGTATGACAAAAGCATGTTCATCTGCTGGCCAGTGGAGTGGCAGTGGGCTATGCTGGAGGGAAGGGACCAATGTAGCTATGGTGCTGGAGCCGCCTCTTCTGGGGGTAGGCTGCTGGAGGGAGGGGTGGGCACTTCGGTGCCACGCACTGAGAATCAGAGGGCCTTGGGAATTCCAGCAGTATGTGGGCACTTGCAAGTGCCAGTGCTGTTCCCTGCAGCCTGTGCGCCTCACAGAGTCCCTACACACAGGTTCTTGTCCTCATTTTGTGGGCCCTCCTGAGGTTCTCCCATAGCACCTGCCCTGCTCCCCACTCTCCTGCCTGGAGGGGGAGCAGTGCTCTGCACAAACAAACTGGGGAGAAGTTTCTTACTCATGCGCATCAGCTCAGCCCAGGATTTTTCTTTCAAAAACTATCCACCACTTCCTCACGTCCTTACAACTCAGCGTCACAGTGCTGTCTGAAGACCAACTCCCCCTTTACTGGGGCTGCACATACGTCTAGTCTGTAGTTCTCCCACCAAGCTGTGGGTAAAGCTGGGTTGAAATCCTCTATCTGGACCTGGGCAATAAATGTATTTTCAAGGACACTCAGGAAAAGTCACCTACATTGATAGTCAAGGTCATGTTGCTTCCCAAAGTGAGTTTGAGGACTCTGCAAACCATGACTCTGAGGGAAGGTAGTTGAACTAGGGAGAGAAGCCCACGGGTCTTGAGGGGTCAGAGGTTTTCAGTTAGAAGATTTTAGAGTTGACACTGCCCTAGAGGGCAGAATCCATGGTCTGTGGAGGGGGTTGTTGGGTGGCTGGTGTTAGGCCCCAGGAGGCTGAGCCACCACCCAACAGGCTCTCTGGGCTGTTGTGCTAGGACTGTGGAACCAGCCCAGGGAAAGCCAGCTCCCGATCTGGGTGGAAGGTTTGCCCTAAGGCCCTCCCAGCTCTTACGTGGGCTCTGAGTCGTTCTGGGCAGGTGCCCCTCCTATGATCTGAGACAGGGGGCTCCCGCGCCTGAACTCTCTTGTGGGTGACAGATCTGTCACCATGATGCCAGAACCCTTCCTCACCGCAGCAGCTTGCCACCATACTCTTCTGGTTGGTGACTTCGTTGGTCACAAGAGGGGCATCCCCAGGCCTGGTTCCATCTGCTGGAAAACTCAACAAGAAAAGCCAGTTGAGAAGCTGGTGCAGAGGTTGGTGGTGAGAAGCTGCTTCTCCCACAGGCCCCCAGCCCTGACAGCCTCTTGTTCCCTTGGGCCAGGTCTGTGACGAGCCCCACCCCTTGCTGGTGAAGGAGATGATCCAGCACTGTGTGAGCGCCAACATCGACGAAGCTTACAAGGTCTGCCTCCTCCCTGCCTGGTGGGGGGCACCCTTTGATTCTTGTGCGGGGCAGAAAGCACGTCCCATCCCATGCGAAGGACTCTGCGTGCTCTCCGAGTCCTTAAAATGGTGCTAGGAGTTAGGGACACCCTGTGGATGAGACATCTGATTCAGAGAGGCTGAGTTCCTTCCTCTAAGTGTCCAGGTGTAGAAGCAGCAGGCCTGGGAAGAAGAAGCTGTGGTGAAACTGAAACCTCAGAGGCAGTGGTTGGGGTGCTTGTGCGTCACTCTCTGGTGGAAACTAGGTCCTTCATCTTCCCCCTTACAGCACAAATAAAGGTTTACATTTCACCCAAATTAATGATAAAAGTAGCAGACTTGGCATTCAGAATCACATCTTCCTACTATAGTATTTTCCACAAGAGGAATTTGTGCCTGTAAGCCCTGTGGGAAGCCCGTCAACTCCTGTGTTACAGTGAAGCCATTGGTCTCTGTTGAGGCAAGACTGCCCACCCCCTCCTTCTGAGCAGCTTGCGGGTGGGATTTCTGGAATCAGCAGAGATGGTAGCCTGGCCTGGAGCCTGGTGCTGTGAGCAGCCCGACAGCTCCACAGTGTCCAGCTGATTCTCAGAGTCTCGGGGGTGCTCCCTCAGGGTGACAGACCCAAGACTGGTGTGGAGTTAGCACCCTGATCCCTTACAGCCTCTCTGCCTTCGTCTAGATTCTCGCTCACCTGTGGCATCTGGGCTATTCGCCAGAAGACATCATTGGCAACATTTTCCGAGTGTGTAAAACCTTCCAAATGGCCGAATACTTGAAACTGGAGTTTATTAAGGTCAGTGAGGCTAGCAGTGCCCCCCTCCAAGATGTGGGCCACTCTGGGGTCTCATCTTACTCCCAGGCCTAGCACCTGGAGGATGCTCAGCAGGTGTCCCCAGGTGCCAGAGGGCCAGGGAGATTGATTGGCCTGGGGCTGGGAGTTTGTTCTCTGTTCTCCCCATTACTGCTCATCAGTGCCCTGCGTGTTCCTTAGGATGACTGTCTTTGTCAGAGATTTGTTCATTCAGTTGTTTATTTTTAAGGTCAGATTAATTGAAGTATAATTTACATATAAAATTCAGCCTTAGGGCTTCTCTGGTGGCACAGGGGTTAAAGTCAGTGCTATCAAACTATGAGCAGCCTCTACAGCACAAGTTCCTTCCCTGGCCAGGGAGCAGACCCGCATGGCGCAGCAGACCTCTCCTCACTCGCCCACTGCTCCCCTCAGCAGTGTATTTCAGTCAATCCACCTGCTTTGCTCCCCACTCTGTCTCTGATGAATCCTCCCACCCCCCCTACACCTCTGCCTATACCCCAGTTCTTGTGTGCATTATTAAATAAATCTTTCTAAAAAAATTCAGCCTTACACCTTAAGTGTAAACAGAGCCACAACCAAGATAATAAGCAGTGTACACACGCATTTTTTATGTTCCCCTCTGTAGTCAACTCCTCCCATAGCACCCGAAAACCACAGTTTTCTGTTTAGAGACAGAATTTTACAGGTCGTAAAAATGGAATCATGTAGAACACAGCCTTTTGTGTCTGGCCGTTTTCACTTAGCTTAACAAGCTCTTTGGATTTGCTCATGATGTTGTAGCCTAACCAGAACAAAGGGTCATTCCTTTTTAATGCCCAGGAGCGCCTTGTTCACCTGTTGAAAGACCTTTGGGCTTCCAGGCGTGGGTGACTGAGTACGGCCCCTGTAAACACTTATGGACATGAGCTAGTGTGAACATGAACACAAATTTTCATTTCTTTCCAGTCAGTTCCTAGGAATGAGATTTCTGGGTCGAATAGTGAGTGTATGTTTAACTTTATAAGAAATAGCCCAACTGCTTCCAGGTAGTGTGATTTCTAACAGCAAATTGTGAGCCTCTTATGGGACCTGTATCCTGGCCAGCACTGGAAAGAGCATTGTTTTTTGTTTTTTTGGTTTTTTTTTTAGATTTATTTATTTATTTATTCAAGCACTGGGTACAGTCAGAAGCGTGGGAGGGTAAGAGAATTCACCAGAGCAGGGAACAGAGCAGGCAGACTGATGAAGTACACTGCTGAGGGGAGCAGCGGGCGGCAGGAGAGGTCTGCCACCATGTGGGACCCTCGCCCGGTGGCCGGGGATGGAACCGGCGCTGCAGAGGCTGCGGGCAGCTTCACAACCCAGCGCTCAACCGCTACGCCTCTGGGGAGGCCCGGAAAGAGCATTGGTTTTTAAAGTCACTACCAGCTGCATCTGGGCACAACTCCGACCTGTCTTTCTCTGCTGACCACGACAGCCAGCGCTTTCCCCTGGCCTGTTTGCCCTCATGATCTGTGACTTATCTGTTCTATCTGCTCTTTTTTTTTTTTTGTTACTGTTGTCTTACTACTGCAATTTAAGAATTCCTTCTGTTTTCCAGATTCAAGCCCTTAATTGGATATGAATTTTATAGATATTTTAGTATTTTCTCCAAGCCTGGCTTTTTTTTTTTTTTTAAAGATTTATTTTATTTATTTTACGCATACAAGAGCTAGGGTGTAGGCCAGAGGTGTGGGGTCTGGGGATGAGAGGATTCACCAGAGACAGAGTGGGGGGCAGAACAGGCAAATCTACTGAAATACACTGCTGAGGGGAGCAGCGGGTGAGACAGAAGAGGTTTGCTGAGCCATGTGGGTTAGCTCCCTGGACGGGGTTTGAACTCGTGCCGCAGTGGCTGCCAATAGCTTCATAGTGCTGACATTTAACCCCTTGCCCCACCAGGGAGGCCCCCAAGCCTGGCTTTTTTAAAAAAAAAAAAAAAAACACTATCTTTCAAAGAAACATCAACATCCTTTTAGGAAATAAACTAAACTATAATTGAAACACAATCTGTTACATTGTAGAGTTCATTCCCCAACCGGAGTCTGAGTTCATTGCATTGATTTTTGGGCAAAACCATCCAGATTTTAAAAATAACTCCTCCCTCACTTATTAACCAGATTTAAATTTGACTTGTTTTTCAGGAAATTGGATACACTCATATGAAAGTAGCAGAAGGTGTGAGCTCTCTCCTGCAGATGGCCGGGCTGCTGGCCAGGCTGTGTCAGAAGACCATGGCCCCGGTGGCCAGCTAGAGCAGGAAACTTCTGATTTGGTTACGAACTTCCTGAATCCTGAGTGACAGGAGTCAGGCTTCTGATGTGGGCATAATGCTGCCTCCTGCTGGAACTCGCTTCCCTCCAGACACCCCAGCCCTCCACGTTGCGCTGGCATACCTCTGCCGACCCAGGAACACCTGCTTTCGGCCTGAGTCACTGATGTGGTGACAGGGTGGAAGGGCCCCAGGGCAACTCTAGGCAGGGCACCCTGTGTGTTGGCATTTTAGCTAATAAAACTATTGAATTTTGTCAGCCATGAGGTAGCAAGGTAAGGCCACGAGGAAAACCACCTTCCTTCCTGTCTGTACCTTGGCATCCTACCGGTAGGAAAGGTGATTTAATGATGGACTGGACAAGCTGATTGTACTTTTTCAGGAAGCCTGGAGGATAGTTCTAGGACTGAGGGGAAGCCTGCTATTAATTACTATTAATTAGCCTCAGAACAGCCCTGGGCTTTGAGCCCTTTGCAAAAGGACCTACGCACAGCACCAAGGAGGGTGTGCAGCCTGGCACAACGGGCTTCCCGCCTGGCCGCCTTTCTGCACAGCTGTACATGTTCATTGCTTTAGGATTCCCCAGTGAGTGTCATGCTAATGTGTAGGGTTGCTTCTTTTTTTCTTTTGCAAGGTACTGTTTTTCCACTTCTTTATGAAAAATGTCAGTTGTGGGCCTCCCTGGTGGTGCAAGGGGTTGAGATACAACCTGTGAAGCTATTGCAGAACGAGTTCAATTCCCGACCAGGGAGCCACCCACATGGCGCAGCTGATCTCTCCTAACTCACCCGCTGCTCCCCTCAGCAGTGGATTTCAGTCAATCTGACTGTTCTGTTCCCCACTCTGTCTCTGGTGAATCCTCTTGCCCCCCACATCTCAGGCCTGTACCCCAGATCTTGTATGCATAAATAAGTAAATCTTTAAAAAAAAAAAATGTCAGTTGCCCATAAAGATAGAATGATACAGTGAGCCTCCATATATCCATCGCCCACGTCAACAGTTTTACCAGCACATGCCTGTTCTTTGTACCGCCCCTTCCTCACCACCAGCACACACACACCCTACTTCACACTGGATTGTTTTGAAGCAAACCCCAGGCATTTTGGGAGTGGTGCTTTTTTTTTTTTTTAAAGATTTATTTATTTATGCATACAAGAACTTGAGTACAGGCCAGAGGTGCAGGGAGTGAGAGGATTCACCAGAGACGGAGTAGGGAGCAGAACAGGCAGATCTACTGAAATACACTTCTGAGGGCATCAGTGGGTGAGACAGGAGAGGTCTGCTGTGTCATGTGGGTCAGCTCCTTGACCAGGGATTGAACTCATGCTGCAGTGGCTATGGATAGCCTCAGAGTGCTGAGACTTAACCCCTTGCATCACGAGGGAGGCCCTGGAATGGTGCTTTTAAGGGTGACTTCATTTTGTGATTGTGGTCTCTGAAAAGTTTCCATTAAAACACTTAAACGACACGCTGGCTCCCGTCAGTTGGGCCACAGAGGTATGGCTGTGCCCCTGCTACAGAGGGTTTTGCAATAGCAGGCAAGCCTGTGTGCTTTTCTTCTCAAATTCTCCCTCCAGATCTTAGTTGACAGACAGCTCATTCTCTGGCCTGAGCTGGAGCAGGAGGGGAGGACCTGTGGCATGTCTGCTTGGTGCCACCCCCTCCAGCCAGCATCAGTCACTGGACCACTGTTGAGTGGGACACTAAGGGGACATAGGCAGGACTCATATCATTGGCTTTTGGGTTAGGGTTTCAATTAAGAGGAGAAAACGTATGGTCCTCAAAAACTTGAAGGTGAAGTTTTAGGAAAATACTTTCATCTACCTTCTTAGTCTTACTATTTTTTAATCTGGAGGCTTATGATCTCTGTGAGGGGAAATAATTCAACCTGTTTGACAGGTGAGGACACAGGAACCAGAGGAGTGTCTGGATTCTCCCACCACTCCTACCTGGAGCTTCACCACAGCTCTATCAGGCCCCAGCTCTGTCATGGGGCTTGTGAGGGCAGGACTTCTGGTGTGAGGGGACAAGTGGCCGACAATTGTGTTTCAGTCACCCAACTTGTAGCATTGAACTTCTCAGAATCTGTGCTGCCCTAGAGGAGAGCTGGGCCTGGGGCATACATTCCTGCCCCCAGCCTTTTCTTTGGCCCCAGGATCCCATCCTAGTAAACAAGAGGCTTGAGCTCCACCTTCATAGGAAGCAGGGGAAAGCAGACACAAGAGAATTACTGCTCTTAAACTAAAATGATTTATTGAGATGTTTTGGTAGAAGAAAGCATTTTTGTCCCTGACTGACTTTCTAACTTGGAAGATCCCTTTGGGCTCCTTCCCGAGAGCCAGTTGGACTCCTGCCCAGTGAGCTCAGCTGAGGGCAGCACTGGAGCAGAGAAGGATTTCAGGCACCTGCGGAGCCGCCCCCTCCACAATGCCTGTCCTTAGCCTGTTCTTTCTAAGGACAGACACTGTCCATGGCACCTGGTCCCACCATAGGGTGGTGAGGGTGGCTGGCTGCAGCCTCATCTTCCTGAGGCCAAAGGAAGGAGTGCCAGGGCGCCCCCTAGAGTCTTCTGACGAAGTACATGTAATGCTTACAGGAGACAAGGCCATCTCTTACCCTGAAATTTAGACTATTAAATATGACTCCATCTATATAAATTAACTGTACAAGCTTATCAGAAAATAATTCTGGCGACTGCAGTCGACATTAGTAAGCAATTTCGGATCCAAATCCAAAGCAAAAGAAACGAATTCCAGTGTTGTAGGTGGGGGATGGGACACGACCTTCCCGCAGTCCCAGGCATCTGATCGCCAGGCTCCTGCCCTGTCCCTCAGAGGCCATGCCAGAGGGCATCCCCAGTAATTGTTCTTCCCTGGGCTGGGTCCGCGTGGCCAGTGGGTGGTCCTCGGGTGGTATTAGTGCACCCCCAGGAGTAGCGGTGGAAAGAGCGCACAGTAGTCCTGTGCACTGGGGTGCCCCTTGGCTCCTTCAATGAAGAGGAAGAGGGTCTGTTAGAAAAGGAGGTCTGCCCCGAGGAGCACTTTGTTCCCTCAGCACCGGCGCTGCTGTTGGGAGTCAGGGAGGGACGCGTGGCCGTGGCTGGTATTCAGCTGCCCTGCAGCCAGCACTGAGAGAAGGACTTGCAGTCAAGCTGCTTTAAGTAGCATTCCAGGTGCTTCCACTCATCTGAAATCCTGTCTGCTTCCTGATCCTGGCCAAGGCTTGGAGGTTCCGACATGTCATTGGTATAGGGATGCCCTCTGCAAAATGGTTGCTCACTCCCTCCCTGAAGTGCTTTCCCAGGCTCCCTGCCACTGCTTGTCCCCCACCCTCAGCCTGGCAGGGTCTCAGCTCAGCTCACTTCTATGGTGACCGATCGTCTCTTTGAATTCCCTTTGTGCAGTGAGAGTGACCACACCCAAGTGTGTCTCCAGCCTGACGCTCCCTAAGGCCAGACTAGTTGGCTCCCCCTCTGCGTGGTCATCTTCAGCTGAGCAGGTTCAAAAATGAACACCTTGCCCACCAGCCCACTCACCTGCAGCCTCCCAGACCTGGGCGGCCGACCGTGGCCACCTCTTGTGGCTCAGCAAAGCGTGCCGGCCTCGCTTCCTGGAACCCACACCCTGCACATCAGTCGGTCCCCTTGACTCCGCTACAAACTACGTTCGGTGTCCCCCTCCACGGCCCCCACCCTGGGGTCCTTTGCCTTCACGTACTGGCCTCCTTTCTTCCACTGTCCTCTGTGCCAAGCCATCCTGCGCACCTCCCCTCCCCCACCTCAGCACCCTGGTGCTGGCCCTGGCTTTGGCCTCACCTCTGTCCCCAACACCGGCCCCCACTCCTTGCCTCCCACAGCCCAGGCTTCCTTCCGTCCCCCTCCCGAAGGGTGAGGAGGGCACCCGGAGAAGGCAGCCCTGTGAAGGCAGCCCGGGCCTCCCGCTGGGCCGCCCCGCACACACACATACACACACACACACACACACCCGTTTCTCTCGGCTGTAAGCATCACATCTAGTGCTCTATTTCCTTTCTGTCCTTACCTCCCGCCCACTGTTTTCTCTCTCCCAGAGGTGTGTTCGAAGCAGTCAGGGACTGGGGTGTGTTGTCTATGGCTGCCCCTGACCAAGCACCTACGGCAGGACTCGCCCTGGCGGGTGACGGGCAGGTACACCCATCAAGTGGGTGCTGAGTGTGTGAATGGAGGTGGGGCTCCCACCCTGGGCTCAGACCCCCGCAGCTCTCCTGGTGTCTGTTCTCCCACGCCCACCCCAACAGGACTTCGACAACTCATGGCTCATGGGGTCCACGGTGCCTTTAGCAGGGGCCAGAGTTTGGGCTCCCACCTCTGCCCACTTGGCACCCGTCCCATCCTGACTTTGGGCAGGCAACTGTGCCTGTGAGATGAGGTGTGTGTGCTGGCCTGAGGTGGCTTCTCAGCATGGTTCAGCCACTAATTGTCATTAGCTCGGAACCCCCCTCCCCTGGTCCCTGTGCCCAACACTGGCAAGTTGTGCTGAGCTCGAGCTTCCTGTGCATGGTCTTCTCTAAGTCAAACCATAGCTCTGGTAGCTCCATTTCGCAAGTGAGGAAACAGGTTGCAGAGGTTAAGTCATTGCCCATTGCCCAAGGCTGCAGAAGCTAAGCACCTTCTCCCCACGACTCACCAGCCTCCCTTGCCTGGCACACCTCCAATGGAGATTCTGTCACCTCACCAAGCCTGCCGAAGGAGTTGGGGGCAGGGTGGCAGGAGCTGCTGGAGGCCCCGCACAGAGGGGCCACTTGCTCAGCTCTCAGGGCTGGCCCAGGCACTCCACCCCGGCCCCCGCTGTGGCTCCCCCAGCCTGAGCTCTCCGCCTCTCCCTGGAGTGGGGCCCCTTGGCCTGCCAGGTCCACCACCCTGGACCAGGCCGCTGTACCTTCTTCCCAGGGCTTCCCTAGGCCTTCTGGGCTGACACATCCCCGTTCACATAATCAGGCTCCCCGTCCTCATCTGGGCTTTCTGGAGAGGCACATGTTTCTCTCCGGACTTGCTCTGTGGACCAGAAGGCAGACCCGGTCAGATGGGCAGGTGCTTCTCACAGACGCACCCACAGATGCCCCCCCATGCTGAGAACCTGGGGCTCAAGCTCCCAGATGCCACAATCAACCTGCAGGAAATGCTGTCCCATCTCTATGACCCAGAATTTGCCAGATATTTGTCCTTCCCCTTCCAGATACTCTCCATAGCTGCACAGGCAGCCTTGGAGACCCCTCCTCAGGCCAAGGCAGGAGGGTGGGTATTGGGTGGGTGGCAGGGGTGAGGAGGGGAAAGAGGGGCGGGGCACTGTGGCTCCAGGGCACTGCACCTGCTGGTAGGCAGAGGCTTCACAGTGGATCAGTCGGTCTGGCTGCAGAAGAGGCCCTACTTCTGCCTCCTGCCCCCACACTCCCTTCCCAACCTGGTCCTCCAGGCCAACCCCGCCCCCCCCCAGTTTGCTGAGATTGACCTCTGGGTCTCTGTTCTCCAGTCACACACCTGCGACCTTCCTGGACTTCCGCCACTGAAGGATGGATGATGAGTTCTGGTAATCGTCAGACCCCTCATCTGTGGGGGAAAGGGAAGGTGCTAGGGCAGGGGCAGCCGCCATGGCCGGTCCTCAAGCCTGCCAGACACCCTAGCCCATCCTTTTTTTTTTTAAGATTTATTTATTTATGCCTACCAGAACTGGGCCACAGGCCAGAGGTGTGGGGGGTGAGAGGATTCACCAGAGACAGAGTGGGGAACAGAACAGGCAGATCAACTGAAATACGCTGCTGAGGGGAGCAGCGGGCAAGACAGGAGAGGTCTGCTGTGCCATGTGGGTTGCTCCCTGGCTGGGGATTGAACTCGTGCTGCAGAGGCTGCAGATATCTTCATAGGTTGCGTCTTCACCCCTTGCGCCACCAGAGAAGCCCACCCTGGCCCATTCTCCCGGGGCTGAGCCCACTCAGGGGAGGAAGAGATTCCCTGAGCATGTTCCCGCCGTGGCCCTGGGCTTGTGGCGCCTCCTCCAGGGACAGTGGGAACAAGATTTACCCAAAGGCACCAGAGATAAAGGTGAACCTTCAGGCTTTGAGGCAGGTGGATGTTAGCTCTTGCAGTGCAGGTGTCGGGGGGAGGGTTGTCTCCCCGCCCAGGTCCCAGGCCAGCCTCACCTGAGTCAGGGCTTTGCTGGCAGATGAGCACATTCTCGTAGGAATTGGTGTCGTCATCATCTGCAGGGAGGAGGAAGAAGGTAGGGCATGCAGGTGGGCCTGGCTCTCCCACTCTCCCTCCCTTGTTCTGTCCTGCCCTCCCTCAGCAGATGACATCTTCTGCCAACCCCCCAGCACTCTGGTCCCCCACAGTGCCTCCAGCATTTTCCTGGACAAACCTCTTACTAGGCTGGCCAAGCAGCTCCATCTACCTGACTCCCTTCTTCCAGGGCCACCCCGAAAGCCCTGGGAGGGAGAGCAAGGGGCTGGGCTGCACTCAGACCCATGAGGAGAGTTGGAGGGGCAAGGGGTACTGGTACCGGTCAGTGAGGGGCAGGGAGAGCCCTGGCGGCCCAGGGGAGCTGGAAGAAGCCCAAGCTCCTGAGAAAGCACCTTCAGGCAGGGCAGGCCAGGCTGAGGCACCTGTGCCCAGGGCCATAAGCTGGGGGTGGCCATCAGGGCGTGGCATGGCCCTCATTGCCCCACAATGGTAAGTGGAACCCTAACTACCACTCTGCCCAATACCCCAGATATGGGGCCCCTCCCCAATTTGAAAGTGGAGGGGGGAGGAAGAAGCCCCCCTCCCTGCTGTCCACTGTGCCTCATCCCCACCCCAGCACAGGAGAAGCCTCCTCAAGAAGCAGCAGCACCTCCTGGGACTATGCACCTCCCAGCAGGTGCCCATCCTAGGTCCTCAGTTTCTCTTTTGTAAAGCAATGGTATTAAGGGCCTAAGGACCCAGGGCCTTCAGAGCTTCCAGGGCTCAGCATCTGTTAGCAAGACCGCCCCTTGGAGGGCCCCCTCCTCCCCATATTTACCCAGCCCTGAGGGGTGCCTGGGTTACAGGGACCCCGCCCCTCCCCTCCCCCCAGCTCCTTGTCTGTTCCCTCTGTTCAGTCCTCTCCTTTCCATACATCCTTTCCTTCCTCGTCCCCTTGGTGCCGCCTGCGTGCTGTCCTCCCTCACCTGCCCCCTCTCTACCACCCAACTGAACCGCAGCCAGGGCTGTCTTCCTTTTCCCCTCCTCCTCTGGCCCTAGGAATGTGGCTACTACTGCTAAGCTCAGCCACCTCCTCATGCCTCCCGCCCCTCCTGATCTACTGTCTCACCTTCCAGGGCCTTCCGGCACTGCCCCCAGTTGTAATAGTCCATGGCAATGGGTTCTCTGGCAAGAAAACAGACACATCACCGGTGGCTGGGCAGGCCCGTGGTTGGGTGGGGACTTCATAGGGGCAATGAGGCAGGGACGCTCCAGCCTGAGGTCTGTGGGCCTCCAATCCCCTGGGCCTGAACCACCCTGGGGCTAAGGCGTGGCCGCTTCATCCTGTGAGCCTGCCAAGTCTCCACTTAGCCCAGGCCTCCGTTTGCCCATCTGTGAGATGAAGAGACATTTTGAGGTCCTTCTTCTCAGAGGTACCGGCTGTCCATGTAACTTGTTTCTCTGGGCGATGCAGGAAGAGTTTCCGCCCCTCTGGTGTTTCCACCCCTCGGAACAGAGCTGTATCCTTGCCCACCCAAAGCCATGGCTGTCTGGGGCACGACAAGGCTGCCCAGAGCATCCGGCCTGTGAGTTCAAGTGCAAGAGGAGCTTCACCAATGAGGAAGCTGAGGGCAGGGGGTGGGTGTGGGGAGGAGGCCACTCACACATAAGCGGCATCTGACCCAAGTCGGCTTCCTGCAGGAGGAGACAAGAATTAGACCCGAGCTTCAGTCAGTGAGCCCACTATAGCCCCCCCTCCCCACCGCCTCCCCAGAGCCTACCTACCTTTGCGGAAGTTCTGGTACCTGGGAGACTCAGATCCTGGAAGAAAGGTCAGGGCCATTGTTTTCCCCAGTTCCTTCTCCCCTCCCAGCCGGCCATGGGCTCTGGCCACCCAAGGAGGGGTTTCCATCCTGAGTCCCCAGGTTTCCACCTGCTCTCTGAACCTCTCCTACCAGGCCAAGCCCATCTGGCTCCCCCCCAGTTTCCCCTCTGCAAAACCCCCTTGTCAGGTCTGGCTTCCCTGACACCCAGTGTCCCCTTCAAGATGCCTGTCCCACTGGGTGCTCTTCTGTGTCAGGCCTGCCTCACTCCTGCCCCCCTCCCCGCCCCCGCCCTGTCCAAGGGTCACTTACCCTCAAGGCTGGGGGAGAACAGCAGCTTTTCCTTCCTGCAGGGGGGAGGGTGATAGGGGGTGAGAAGGGGCCATTGGGGACAAGGCTGAGAGTCTCTGGGGTTCTGAAAGCCACAGCCCACAGCCCACAGTGGGGCCCTCCTCATTCCCCTGTGGGGCTGTGACCCCTCTGGGCACAGGACAGGGGACTCCTTCCTACCTTGCAGATTCTGCATCAGGGACCATGTCCATCAGGGACCCGGGATAAGCCTGCCTGACCACTGCAAAGGACAAGGGGTGTTGGCTGGGTACCCAGGCCAGCGCAGTCCCCTCACCTCCTCACTGCACCATATTAGCCCTGTCCGCAGCCTCGGGGAACTTTGATACCCCCCGCGCCCACCCTTCCTTTCGGGGACTCACGGGAGTAGGTCCCGGCCACGGCAAAGCTCTGTTGATTCTCCTGCCTGGAAACACATGGGGCTGTGCTGAGCCAGAACCTGGCCTCCCACAGCCCAAGAGACAGAGGGACAGAAAGACAGACGGGACGAGGAGCAGAGCAGGGAGGGGCAGACCAGAGCGAAGAGGAACCGCCACCCGGGGTTGCAACTCCAGGGCCCCTGGTGCCTCCATTCTCTGCTGCTCCCCACTCTCCCCATGGGGTTCCCACTGTGCTCCCTGGGCTCTGGGCGCCAGCCACCGCCATCAGACCCACACCCCGACAAGCCCAGAGAAGGTCCAGAGAGTCTGTGATCAGAACTGGAGAGACGGCCCTGAGATTCTGGGGCCTCAATGTTGGCTGCTCAGGGACTCAGGGGTGACTCAACCAGGAGTGAAAAAGGGTGCCCCTCCTGAAATGATCAAATACACTGTTCGCTCCCAAATAACTGCCGTGGCAACTTCAAGGTGTGCAGGCACAGCCTTATCCCTTCTTCCTTTGAAACAGAACCCTGGCTTTTAGGTAGCCACGTGCAGCCACCTAAAATATTGTATTTCCCAGTCTCCCCTGCACTAAGTGTGCCCGTGCGATTAGCCTCTGGTCAATGACATGCAAGTCAAGGCTTTTGGGAAGTCCAGGACAACTGAAAGGACATTTCCAACTGGGGTACAGCCTTTCGGCCCTCCCTTCTTTTTTTCCTACTGCCTGGAATGTGGAGAAGAGGGCTGGAGCTCCAGGTGCCATTTTAGACTATGAATGGAATGGAAGCTACCACTAAGATGGTGGAGCAGGTTCCGCGGCATTAGCTAATCATTAAAGCATTTTCGGGGCCTCCCTGGTGGCTCAAGGGTTAAAGTCTCAGCACCATCAAGCTATGGCCAACCACTACAGCATGAGTTTGATCCCCAGCCAGGGAGCTAACCCACATGGCGCAGCAGACCTCTCCTATCTCACCTGCTGCTCCCCTCAGCAGTGTGTTTCAGTCAGTCTGCCTGTTCTGTTCCCCACTCTGTCTCTGGTGAATCCTCTTACCCGCGCACCTCTGGCCTACACCCCTGTTCTTTTCTTTAAAAAAAGATTTTATTTATTTATGCATATAAGAGCTGGGGTGTAGGCCAGAGGTGCGGGGGGTGAGAAGATTCACCAGAGACAGAGTGGGGAACAGAACAGGTGGAGTGACTAAATTACACTGCTGAGGGGAGCAACGGGCGAGACAGGAGAGGTCTGCTGTGCCTTGTGGGTCACCTCCCTGGCCGGGGATCGAGCTCGTGCTGCAGTGGCTGAGGATAGCTTCATAGTGCTGATGCTAAACCTCTTGCGCCACCAGGGAGGTCCCCGCCCCAGTTCTTGTATGCATTAAAAAAAAAAAGGCATTTTGGACTCCTCTCCTGGTTAAGACTGGATACCTGCCTCAGGCTTCCAGGGCTCCCAGGGAACTGGGGCTTTAGGAAGGATGCCTTAACTCTACAGGGGAGAATCAGGCATGACTTCCTGGAGGAAGCGATGCAAGAGCTGGGCCTGGTGCACAGCAGTAATTTCATGCAGATTGGCAGGACTGGGCCCAAGGGAGACGCAAGGGAGTCTCCTCTCACACTTTCTCCCACACGAGCAGGTTTAGCTTCTGACTCTGAAAGTTTATGGTTCGAGGGTCAGTTAGGGACCGGGGGTGATCAGGGAGGAGGAGGGAGGAGGAGGAAAAAGGAGATGGAGGAGGTCTGCCTTGGGGCAGGGGTGTGAAGGACCAACCAGGGGAGCCCGGCGCACCCCTGATGGAAGCTGTGGGCTGGTGAGCCAGAAACCTAAGTGGCCAAACAACCCTGTCAAGGTCTGGCCCTGGTCCCAGCAGTGGGCACCAGATGGGAAAATTCTATTTTCAAATCTCACTGTGGTTTTTCAGTTGCAAAAGGAAATGAGAAATGGTGTATGCACACATTTGTACATGACTACCTGCCCAGCCGTGCGCACAAGCGCAGTGTGTGGAGAGGTGCACGCATGAGCGAGCGGGAGTCAGAGGGCATGTGGGCGGGGTTAGGGGTCCCTAGGCCCGAGATTCGTCACTCCTCAAGGCACGGACACCCATGGCCGATGTCCTCATGCCCAGGATTGTCTGTGGGCCAGCCCGCACCGCCGTCTGCGGTGTTCAGCGTGGCGGACCCGCCCCTACCCCTGGAGAGCCAGAACTCCCTCCTGCCTGGCACCTGCCGCTCTGCCTGGGGTCAGTGATCTGCTTCCTCTCCCTACCTCCTGCTGCACACAAGCCCCTGCTTCTAGATCTCAGAAGAGGCCCTTTGGCCCTTTGGCCCTTAGGACAGAGGCCACAGCCTCTCCCACAATGAAGCCCCTCCTTCCCTCTGCAGCTCATCTCTCCAGACACGCCTGCGTATGCCACCTCCACCCTGGAAGACAGTGTCTACCCCGGTGCTGTGTCTCTGACTGCCCACCTGTTCTCTCTCTCTGGAATGTCCCTTTCACCTTCTTTGTCTCTTAAAATCCTCCCCAACTCTCACATCAGGCCTCCCCTGACCCTCCAGGGCACATGCGCACCTCCTTCCCTGGGCTGGGGTCAGAGGCTCTCTGGAGATGCCCCTGGGCATGCCCTCTTCCCACCATCCTCCCTGACCAGGACGGACAGCCCCAGGTACCCCTACCCTCTCCCAACTGCTGGGGCCCACTTGAGCCAGACTAGAGGAGGTATAAGTGATGGGGTGAGGGATGGGAAGTGCCCACCCCATGGGGTCACCCACACCCAGGGCACACACATCCATCAGGCTGGGGTCTCAGGCACTCACAGGCTATTCTGCTCATAGATTTTTTGGGATTTCTTCACACCTGCAAGAAAAGGCTCGGATGAGCAAGTGTCTGAAGCAGGGTAGAAGCTAAGGTCCGGGCACCCTCTTCTTGTCTCGTCTAGTCTCCCCGGCGCCCTGTGCTGGCCTTAAACAGCACATGGGATCTGAGCCGCCAATCACTGTGGGGCCCTGACACTGACCGGGTGTTTGCTCACCACCTACACAGGACGGCAGAGCACAGAGAAGGTGGGTACCCAGGGCAGGCAGCCTGGCCTCCTCCAGAGCAATGTCCCTTGGTCCCAGACACGAGTCCTTGACCCAGAAAAACCCGAGGCCCCAGTCTTCCGGCACGGCCCTTGGGATTCATCTCTGCCTCAAGAGGCTTATGAGATCGTTCTTCCGTCCAAAGCAGGCCCGGACCCAGGAGGGTCATCGTGTCTGTGACCCCTGCCCCCACTAGCCAGACTTTACCTGGGCGGGAGCAGCGCACACACAGGCTGGCCGCCACCCCCAGCAGCAACAGCAGCAGCAGCAGAGCGGCCCCTGGCCACAGCAGGTGGGCGTCCGCATTCATGTCCGCTCCTGGCCACCCTTCCTGCGAGACTGTGATGTGGGGCGCCCTGTGGGGGTTGGGGGAGAGGGAACTGCAGGGTGACCTCTCGAGGCCTCTTGAGTTGTGTTCAGCCCCACCCCCACCCGCACTCAGCCCTCTTCCCTATCTGGTCCCAAACCCAAACCCCTGGCCCACAGGGCCATCGTCGCTTAGTGAGTGTTGGAGGGTTCTGGAGACCCACCACACAGTACCACACGCACCTGCACACTCCCATACACTCAAGTCCCACAGACTCGAGGCAGTGGTTCGATTCATTTTACAGATTGAGAAACTGAGGCCCAGGAACCCTTAGCTGCTAAGTGGGAAGTCAGGGTTCAAATTCTGGCCTCCAGACCCCAACTCAACTCCTGTAAACCAGGCTTGCGCCCCAAGATAGGAGTCTGTGACCCCTTCCAAACAGGAACCTCAAGCAGTCCCCATCTCTCTTTAGGGTTCTGCTCTGCCCCGTGGGATTGAGATTCCCATTCTTTAAATACTTATTGAAGCTGGGATTGAGATTCCCATTCTTTAAATACTTATACACCCGGACTCTTCCCGTCCTGGGAGCTAGGAGGAGAGAGGTGAGCCTGAGAGCTTGAGGGGAGAAGAGTGCTCCAGGCAGAGGGACTCAGTGGTGGGGGGATGGGCTAGGAGGGCAGGGCAGGGGATGCACCAGGGTGCGGAGGCCGAGTCCTGGCCAGCTGGCAAGGCCGGGCCCTTTCCCAGTCTCAGAGCCACATAGTGGCGTGATTGTCTTGGAAAAGTTGCAGACAGCCACGTCCCAGGCCTGGCAATGCATGTACTGACCGCTCCAGGACCTTCCAAGGAGAGTCACTGCAACAAGGACTCAGACCCCTTACGAAGGCCAGGGACACAGCTGGGGATTGGGACCTCACAGCGACTGTGCCCTGAGGTGGACATGGGAGCCCCCACTTCTGATGGCCCTGCCGCCTCGGTCCCTGTGAGGAGGGCTTCTCCTCATTCCACAGCTGGGTTTTATTTATTTTTGTTTTGTTTTTTTTTTTGTTTTCACTAAGGAAAAGAGCAAAAGGAAAGAGTGATATTTGCACCGACACAGGCAGGCAGGAGAGCTGCCAGACACAGGGCTTTAGGGGGAGGCCTCCTCCTCCTTCGCACTCCCCCAAGGCCGCCCCCCTCACTAGCTGCGTGGTCTAGGCAGATCTTGGAACCTTTCTGAGGTGTCTCAACCCCTGTGGCAAAGATGACAAGAAAGTTCCGTGTGGTGCTGAGCCTCAAGAAGGAAAAATCACGGGGAAGCTGCTTCTCCTTCCCCAAAGGGTGGTGAGTCATTGGGGAAGTGGGTGTTTCCAAGCCTTGTGACCAGGAGTTGCCACATGAGGAGAAAGGAAGATCCCCTCACACACACCCCGTCACCTCCTCTTCTCAGAGCCTGGGAGCTGCTCCCTCACGCTGCTGACCCTCCACATTTCTCCTTCGGTTAGGCCTCTTTCTGCCCCGTCAGGAGATTCACTCACAGACACATGCACAGGCCACACACATGCTCGCCGGATGCGGGTGTAGCACTGGCCACCTCTGAGCTCGGCCTGCCATTCAAGGCCCTGGCCAGTGGCCTGCTGACCTCGGCTGCCTGCTGACCTCGGCTGCCTGCTGGGCTGTCTATCCCAGAGAGCCCGACCACAGAGAACCCCTTGCTTCCCCGACCTGCTGTCCTGGGGACACTGGGAGGTGGCCCCTGCCCTGGTCCATGTCTACCCAGCTGGCACTGGGTTGGGGGAGCCTGAGAACCAAATCCTGTCCTCACTGCTGGACCAGTGTCTCTGGCCTTTGGTGGTCCCTCTGTTAAACAGGGAGGGGAGATTATGACACATCCGCGTGTGGCCACATGAAGCCCAGGGTCAGGGGACGCACGTCAGGTGCTAGCACAGGCGGGCGCGGGTGGCAGGGACTATGGCTTGCCCCGATCCCGTGGAAGGGGAGGGGTGGCCGCAGCCTGGGGAGCCAGAGCAGGAGCTGGCTGAGCGGCCTGCCGGGAGCAGCGTGGAGCAACTCGCAGATGCCTGCCCTGCCTGGTCCCCAGAATCACAGGCCTGGGGTCCCCAGGCCGCCACCTTGGGGGGCTGGGAGCTGAAGGAGAACCGTGGCTCTGGCCCAGATCCTTGGTCCCAGACACACACTATGTCACCTGGGAGATGCCAGCTCCTCTCTGCCTAGGGAGGTGCAGAGGAATGAGGACCTGCCCCAGGTCACCCAGTAATCAGTCACAGAGTGAGGATGCCAACCCAGGGCAGGGGGCTCCACAGGCCTTGCTCCTTTACCCCCCTTCTTATATTACATATTTAACAATCAGGAAATATTTTTCAAAACGAGAGATTAATTTGGCAAACACTCTGTGCCCACCCCCCAGACTGCGTGAACCTGCCATCT